CCCTGATATAATGTTTAAGAAGCTGCAAACAGTACCATTTGCTAGAAATATGTTGAATTATATGTCAATATTGTTTCATTACCCATGGAGCCATTAGCAGTTATTCAGATCTCTATAAAAAATCAATCACAGGCTTGTAGGATATCAGGTGCAATCTTGCACACTTGCAAGCTACAGGCCATAACATACTGCAAACTGGAATATACAATCTGCAATATAATGAACCTGAACTTCAAGCCATTAAAACTAGGCATGTTCAAAAACAACCTTTTCAGTTCAAGGTGGTACTGAGACAGGAATTTATAAGAAATGTCATTCACCTAGTATAGAATAAAGATTTTCACTATAAAACCAGCATTTTTTTCATTATAATTACAAAGCCCATGCAATCTGAGAAGGGTTGCTCATGATAGGATAATCAGGAGCAGAAAGCAAAAGACAGGTATTGGAAAATATTCCTTTGTAAACAGGACCAACAAGTCTTGGAACCACCTACCTGCAGATGCTTTAGGGACTCTCTCCTGTAAATCAAGTAATATTAGGAAAAGGGTTAGGAAAACAATAAATAAGGTGAAGTGAAGATATAGCAGAAATCATCCGAAAAGGCAGTGAAGTAAAGTGAAGTGGGATAAAAGGGAAGTCTTGGTGAAATGTGGATACATCAGAACATGACACAACACATTCCAGTACTATTACTGTTTAGTGTATAGTATACACGTTCTCTTATTAATACTAATTTATATAATTGTAGTTGTAAGTGTATTTTCATTGTATTCACTGTGTGCTAGTGTGTCCTTTGCTGTTTGTGAGTTTTGGGTGCTGTGATTTGTTTGAGTGTGGTGTGTTACTTTGTGTTATGTGTGTCATTTGTGTGTTGTGTCTTACTGTAGTACCACTGCCACCGGGCAAAAACCCATATGCAGTTTAAATAAATAATAATAAAATTCATAACACTAATAATTTTTTCACAATACACTGAAGTGTACTCTTTATCTTCTGAAATAACATTTCTTTTCAATGGAAAATGTTCATGTACCTTTCAATTAAAAAATTTGGCCATCCTCTTTCTCACCATGAGCAGAAATAGACACTGTCAACAAGTTCATATATTACAGTGCTATCAACCATTATGGTGCTAACTGTTCAGTTAGTTCAAACCCTAATGTACAAAGTAAAAGCACTTATATATGAAAATTATCAAATTTCACAACAAAAAATCAGTGTTCAAATCAAGATAGTTTTCTTTCTTGATCCATCTCAGAAATTCAAGACTTGCTTGTATCTACATAAAACCTTTTTAGGGATTCATTGTCCTCAGGCTGTCACGAAGGGCTGACAACCACACTGTGAGCTGACTGTCTAGAAAATGTGGGAGCCTCAACGTCTCACAACCCGATGGGCCTCCACAGCCTGTTACATGGATAGCTTTACCTTTACCTTACCTTAGTTAAGTCTTGCCCATTGAAACTAAGATATCCATACAACTGTTCACAAGTAATGAACAGATGTACACACTTACCATAAATGTGTGATTAAATGCTGGAACTGAATGAGTACTGTAGGTCTGAATTGGAGATGGATACTAGAAAAGAAATTATAAATAACAACCAGGTCTCAAATAGTAAGCAAGTGAATAGAACAGTCACTGCACATGCAAATGATCAACATGCTAATGACTATATGAGAATTATACTCACCTTACGAGTAGCAGACAAAACAACCTTCTATATTTTGATTTTGTTTCCATAATTTAACAGAAGAAAAATTTTTACTTACATTTATAAATATTTCCAAATTCAAGTATTTTATTACAATAGTGTATATAGTATTAGAGTGAAGACCGTGTGGGTGGCTCCCACATCATGTCCCACAGGGGATTTTTCAAATCATTTGCTGTATGTAGCTGAACAGCAGAAGTGCACAGATACAGTAAAGTAAGTAAAGTAAAGGTATCCCTGTAACAGGCCATGGAGGACCATAGGGTTGTGAGATGTTGAGGTTCCCACATTTTCTAGACAATCAGCTCATAGATGGCGGCAAGGTTGTCAGCACTACACGCCGGCCGCCCTTTACCCCCAAGAATATCCCAAGAATATTCCTGGTGCTCATTTCTGTTAGAAACTGAGTGCATAGATACAGTAGTTACATAATGGTTTCAAGTTGGACAGCTATTACAGGTATGTAGCGTTGCGCGTTACGTCACCGCCGAGGGGAGTGGCGGGGCGGGAACTCGCCTATTACCGTAGTAACGCGAGCGTTACGTTACCGCCACGTACCGCTGGGGAGGTAGGGGTGATCCATAGCTCAACATGTCACAATATCATTAATAAAGCCTGTGAGTGACCTCTTAATATAAAACAATTACAACATGAAGATCTGAGAGATCTTCTTTTATTTTTATAACCAGAATACATCAGTAGTTTAATTCTGTTAAGGCTGCATTTCTACATTCAGTGATATGTTCCTTATTACATAAATATTTCACACTGATCATTTTTGAGCATGAAGCTGCACACATGTAAATAATAAAAACTTATCCTTACGAATTGTGCCAGGGATTGAAATATGACCATCTCCAACATCCAGGTCAACAAATGTTGGCTTTCGCCTCATTTGAGCTGCATAATTCAGAAGCAACCTACATAAAGTTGATTTACCAACATCCACTCGACCCACAATCATTGTTACAGGCCCTCGACCATTGGCTAATTCTGCCTTTCTTCTTAGAAGTTCCAGTGCTTCATGTGCATTGAGATTCATAACCTGGGAAGAAGAAAGTGTGAAAAGAAAGTAAGAAACAGAATTACAGCAAGAAATTTTCATGCATGTATTATTATGCTGGGATTGAGGTATTTTAACAGCTTACCTGTTCCAATAAAAGATCTTTCCCATAATATAATACAATTTAAATTGGCCTTGAAAATTTTCCTGTATTCCCATCCATTTTATATATTGGATTATTATTTTAAATACAAGATGAACTAAACTTTCTGTAATGCTGTTTATATGGTATATTGTATAAAAGACTTTCAATTGATATGCGTATACAGAGTGTCCCAGGAGGAATGTGCCAGACTTCGGGACGGTGTTCCTTATGTTAAAGTATGCCGATATAATCCAAAACACCTATGTCCAAAGGTGAACGGTTACAGAGATAATGGCCAGAGAAGTGTGAAACTTTGACAGGTGTTACACACTTGTTGATTAACAAATACATATTAAAACTGGCAGGAATATGTGGTTTCTGCAATATTAATAATGTACGTAACATCAAACTAACTTGTGAGTGACATGAAGCCATTAAATTGAACTGCAAAAGAACTCGCATGCCATGTCGTAGTTGTCCTTAGGTTTCCAAGCACTATACATGACACATGACTGGCAAGTGCTGACGTAACATGGCTGATGGCATATTCTGGTATAAGCCGACTACATAACTACTAAATTGTTGTGAAACACTAAAGGTCCGATCAACCTGTTCCCAAGCACACCACACCATACATTCACAGAAAACCTCTTTTGGAATTTCGTTTTCATTATCTGATGTGGATTATTATGGGACCACATATGCACATTTCACAAATTATTTACACCATCCCGGGTAAAAGACGCTTCATCACTGAATAAAATGACACTTAACAGTTCGGGATGAGCTTTTATCCAGTGGCAGAAATCCATACACTGAGCATGGTCACCTGGTTCCAAATGTTGTACCCTTTGATCATGGTAAGGACACAACTCTTCATCATGCAAAGTTTGACACACCTGCATACGTGATACACCGATGTGAGAGGCCATTCTATGAGTGGACAGACGTGGACTTCTCTGAACCATCTCAAGAATGTTCTCTCGTGTGTTTCTCATTCGTACATCCTCCCTTTCAGAGTGCACACAAACACTCGGAAGAGAACCAGTATCACGCAATGTCTGGTGAATTCGCGCAAATACACTTCGAGATGGAATCCTTCGATTGGGAAAACGCCTTTGGTATTCTTCAACAGCAGCATGTGCATTGCCACCGCAAAATCCACACACAAAATGCATATCACAATATTCCACGTGTGAAAAAACAAAAGGCATTTCAGCAACTCCGCACAACTAATTTACCAACCATTCACAACGCAGCTGCAATGTACCATGAAGGTAGCACATAAGCTTACGGCTAGTGTGAATCACCACACTCAAGGACAAACATAGATAAGACTTGTCAGCTGACAGGTACAGTGTGTGGACCCGTCAGAAGACCACACTTTTCTAGGGCCATATCTCCGTAACCGTTCAACTTTGGACATAGGTGTTTTGGGTTATATCGTCATACCTTAACATAAGGAACACCCTCCCAAAATCTGGCACATTCCTCCTGGAACACCCTGTATATATTTTGGGAAATTAACTTAATAAGGTATTAATGTCTAATTAATGAAGTGTAAATGTTGGTTAAATTATTGAATTCTACAATCATAGTTCCTTTCATGAACGTGGCTGTAAGTTTTCAGAATTAATGTCTGTAAATTGTGACACGTTCTATATCCAATGGCGTTGGTAGCCAGTAAGGATATGTGGAAATGAAAATAAAGATACATGCCACATGTGTCACTTACCATGGGTGTGTCCTTCACGATGTAACAACCATCCATCTTCCTTCTCAATTCAATAAAGCATCCTTGCCATGTAAATACAGCTATCTTTGCTCCCGTCGTGAATACATAACGAATTCCTTTCACAAGTCCTGTACCAAACACCCCTGCTGTTCCGCTCTTTAACTGAAAGTAGAGAATTAAACTATAATTACATGCAAATGATTTTTATGGGAAATTTAAACTTAACTACTACATGCTATAACAAAGGTACTTCAAGTGCAGTACATTCTACAGAATTAAATTAAGGTAGTAAATCACCTATTATACATCATTCTCTGAAAATATATCATCAGAATATTTGTGGCTTGAGATATATGATAAACTAATTATTAAGCTTTTTATATCCAGATTGTCCACATATTATCTGCATAACTGAGCACTATTTAAGTTACATAGATTTGAGTAGTACTGTTATTGAAAATTAGAAATTTGGTGCCAGCTATTGTAGAACTACATCGAAAGGTGGAACATGTATATTTTTACTTAATCATTTAAATTATTGTAATGGCGCAAAGGTCACCTACTTGTAGATATAGTTTTTGGGGTAAAATTGGAATAATAGTAGCTAGACTGTAAGATGAAGAAATAGCCATGATGAAACGAACCAGGAAGCTTAGGTCTACAAAGAATTGTAACAGGGAATGCCTGAGTCATTAGAATGCTAACCCGGCAGTGTAATAGCGCTGACATTGAGGAAGGAGCTATATGAAGTGGGTNTCGTGGCGATTTTAATATAGGTTACCTTAGTGATAATTGTAGGAAAAGTGAATTTAATTCCTTGTTAAATTCTTATAATCTTTTTAGCATTGTAGACTTTGGTACTGGAACACAGAATACATCCAAATCTGCTATAGTTATTGACTATTTCAGATTAGGGACTTTTAAAGTTACTCCTATACCAAATGGTATTGCTGATCATGATGCTCAACTCATTTTCATCCATGACATTGCATTACCTTTCCTTCCCAAAGGTTATTGGAAAACAAGGAAAACCAATAAATGTTCATTAGCTGATTTCAATTACAAACTTAGGTACGAGATATGGAAAGAGGTTTTTGAAGAGAATGATGTGAATGTTATG